TCAAACGTATTTATTTTTTCCACCATCAAACGACGATCTTTTTTGGAAAAACTGAAATTTGGTGGGTATTTAGAAGATTTATTGTTCTTCATTCTGAACGATGGATATTAGTTTTGGATGGTTGGATTTTTGGTACTTTCAGTTCGAAGTTACTGGTCATGTTTTTTTCTCTGCACCGACCAGTTTGAATTTCTTCAACGATCAGACATCCATTTGTGGTCTGATGAGGTTGAAATTTGGTGAATTGTCCATGATAAGTTGTGCTTGAATCTGAACAGTGGAGATCGAATTTGAACAATCAGAATGCATCTGCTTTACATGAATAGTAGCTATTTTGGTGATATTTCTCTATTCCCTTATTTATCTCTTATTGTTTAGTTGATTTATTGTTGAGTATTTATTTAAAGATTATAGTGGTTGCTTATTGTTACTGAAAACACTAATTTGTATCTTGGAACTCTTTTTACTTGGACCAGGAGAGGTCTCGTGGTTTTTATCATTCACATTGAAGGGGTTTTCCACGTTAAAAATTTTGAAGTCTTTGTGTGATTGTTTTCGAATATCTTGGAGTAGATTTTATTATATTTATTTTGGCTGAATTTTTACTTAATTTTCACTCCTCATAAATTTATTCAAGTGCTTCCCTATAATGAGAACATAATTACTTATCCCAATTTACTACTTTCTTTTATCCATTAATATAGATTTGTGAATTAGTGTGAGGTGAATACTTTTAATTTGTTTGTTTCTTACCCTCAATTCTCTCTATATGATTTTCTTGCCTAAATGGGAATGAATGAAACAAAACTTTTAGTAGAATAGAGTAACAATTCTATCTTACGCGAACTCTAATTGAGACTTTAAAATAACCTTGAAGGCTAGGGCTAACAAATAGTCAGTGATAATAATATGCTCAAGATTTCAAACATAAGAAAATGTAAAAATAATAAGGAATGTAGTTGAATGGTTAAAGTAAGAGAAACATAAAGAAAAATAATTAAATAACTGACTTGATTTACTCGAGTTGTTATAAGTGGAAAAAATAATTAAATAACTGAATTTAATTTACTCAAGTTGTTATACGTGATTAAGTTACGTAAACAAAGTACATACTAATGGATCTGGATAAGTATCTAAGAAATTCTATTAAATAACTGAGTTATTTCACTTGAGTCATAAGTATTTAAATTACCTAAACAAATTATATACTAGTAGATCACGATAAGAATATAAAAAAATCTGTTAAATAACTGAATTATTTTACTCGAGTTATAAATGATTAAGTTACCTACGTAAACAAACTATAAATACTATCATATTTAGATCAAAATCTAATAAATTTTATTAAATAACTGAGTTATTTTATTCGAGTTGTTAAGAAATAGATAAATTGCAAAAACAAACTACAAATATTGCGTAATTATGAGAATTTAAGAAATTATTTTATTTTTCTATCTCGTCTTTTATTGTCTTTTTCTTAATATTCTACTAATTGATCTAAGTATGATTACAATATACATTATAACGAATTATAAGATCATATTACTTTTTAACGAACTAATATTTTAATAAAGATCGGCGATGAAAATATCAAGAGCATGCTAAATTATGTGAACCAAAATATAAAAAACAAATAACAAGATACAAGTAGAATAACATGTGAAGTAGAATATTGATAACAAATAATTAAGTTTGAAAAAAATATTTTTTCTTCTAAACTCATATAATAATATATTTTATATTACTATTTTCCAAAATTCTTATAGTTTTATTTTCATCAACTTCTACATAGGTTATTTTGTGCACATATATATATATATATATTCATATATAGATTAAAGAAAACAAAACTCAAAATAGTTTCACTCAACTGATTATATATGAGCCTACTCTCTCTCATTACTTATAATAATTTGTAATATTTTATAACTATAGCTACCAATCATTTGAAACTCAAATATTATACATATTCATATATCATATCTAGACGACTTACTATGCAGATAACGATATATGTATGTATATATACGTGCATATATAATACAGTACAGCAAGCATTTACGTG